AATTATAGATATTCCTCTTCGATACTATACCAAAACTCGACAAGTAAGAATTTCTTAAAGATTAGATGCAATGTAGCATCTGACACCCTGTCCATGAACTTTTCATACTCTGTTACATACATCAAATCCACTGGCTAAGCTTGCACAGGTGAATGAATCTTTTACCCAGGCATGATTTTGTAACATCATGTACACATCATTTGGAAAACTCTGGTTCAATGAATTGTTCAAGTCTTCCAAATGATGACATTTCACACTATATGACATTAAAAAAAAAAAAATCACATTCATTAATATTGCCATCTATCTCTCATCAGGAAGGTTTTAAGTGTTGACAAGCTGTCAAGTTCACAGTGGCAGATACGAATTCTAATTTTCATGTGAAAACTCAAATTTTATCATTGTCAACAAATGCATTCAATTGTTTCCTTTAAAATGACAGGCTCACTTTGTTCATTTTCAAGAAGATGTCTGCCAAATACCCCAGTGTGAATTAATCAAAGCTTATCTATCAGCCACTCTATCAAATAAAAGGTATTCTATCAAAAAAAGTAGCAAGTTTAGTTTGCAACTCAAATAGCTACACACGTGCTTTTTTCCAAAGCAACCATCCTAGTTTAATATGCAGCAGAAGCGCTTTATGCACACTTGTCATTTCATCACACAGAATATTAAAAGCTGTGTTCTCAAGAGCTGAAATAAATTCAATCATTCCTCCTGCTTTACCAAGGACATTCTGGAGTGAAGCTGGATTAGTATGACCACCAGTACAGTTTGGGGTCACTGCTTTTACCCACGATAAGGTGTCAGCAGTTTTCCTCACCGTTGCTTTTACACCATCAGTACCAATGTCAACAATAAAAGGGCAAATAAAGTCTTCAATAATCATGAAAATAGTTTGGACCTCAAGGATCCCATGAAAGGGTCTTAAAGAAGCCCTAGGAGTCTGTAGAGCACCCTTTGAGAACAACTGAGTTACATCAACACAAAGTAATAAGGGTGAATCTTAAAATCGTAATGCTGAGCAAAAATACACAGAAAGGTATGTATTAAGAGAGGCATTCATGTAAAAATTCATCAATAGGCAAAACTAAACTATATTTTTAAGGAATGCATACTTAGTTTGAGAAAACACACTGGGAGATTTTAAGACACTTCTCAATAATCAACAGACCAAGAAGAGAGAAATTAGTAAAGTTTAAACACAATTAAAAAACTTAGTCTAACGGCCACATATAGAACTCCACACCCAACAGAAAACACATTCTTAACAAACACACATAACACTCATAAAAACTGACAATATGCTACATGAAGCAAGTCTCACAAAAACAAGGAGTGTTATTATATGGACTATATTAATTTAAAAATCAATAACACAAAGATAACTTAAAAAACAACATTTAGGAATTTTAAAAGTATACTTTTAAATGGTTCATAGGTTAAATAAGGAATAATAGAAGCTAGAAAATATTTAGAACACTAAAAATACTACATGTCAAAATGTGTGAAGTAAGCTAAAACGTAGTAGAGAAGACATCTGCAGTTTTTAAGTAGTTTTATTAAGAAGATGAAAATTAATGACCTAAGAAGGTGGAAGTTGGGGAGATTAAATCCAAAGAAAATATAAGGAAATAACATAACCAAACCTGTTAGTAACTTACCTAAATGAACATATGTTATGTCTTATCTATAGAAATATGTCCCAATGGACTTCCCTGGTGGCGCAGTGGCTAAGAATCCGCCTGCCAATGCAGGGGACACAGGTTCGAGCCCTGGTCCGGGAAGATCCCACATGTCGTGGAGCAACTGGGCCCGTGAGCCACGACTACTGAGCCTGTGCTCTGGAGCCTCTGAGCCACAACTACTGAGCCTGCGCTGTAGAGCCCGCGAGCCACAGACAAGCTACCACGATGAGAAACCGGTGCACTGCGACGAAGAGCAACCCCCGCTTGCCACAACTAGAGAAAGCCCGTGTGCAGCAACAAAGACCCAACACAGCCAAAAATAAATAAATAAAAATAAATAAATTTATTTTAAAAAAAAGAAAAGAAATATATCCCAAAGGTCCTATCCAAGTTATTATAGTGTCTATACCATGGTACCTCAATTGATCAATTTCAAGTGCTGGGTGAATTCCAAAGCCCAATACTATACCCTTCACTCAGTGTTCAGCAGCCACGGCCATCCATAGCCCCATTCTCTTAGTAGGTTTCTTTAGAGTCCGCGCTCCAACGTGAATCTTCCATAGGAACCCTTTCTCCACCCCACTAATTGAAGGTATGATCCTCCCAAACCCTCACCTCTGCTGTGACCTTAGTACTTCAAGAAAAAACTCAGACTTCCCTGGTGGTGCAGTGGTTAAGAATCTGCCTGCCAATGCAGGGGACACAGGTTCGAGCCCTGGTCCGGATAGATCCCACATGCCGCGGAGCAACTAAGCCCATGCGTCACAACTACAGAGCCTGCGCTCTAGAGCCTGTGAGCCACAACTACTGAGCCCGCATGCTGCAGCTACTGAAGGCCACCTGCCTAGAGCCTGTGCTCCGCAACGAGAGAAGTCACTGCAATGAGAGGCCCGCGCACCGCAATGGAGAGTAGCCCCTGCTCATTGCAACTAGAGAAAGCCCCCGGGAAGCAATGAAGACCCAAAGCAGCCTAAAATAAATAAATAAATTTTTTAAAAAAGAAAAAACTCAGATTCTCCTGCTGTAAAGCCCAGGGGGCCGTGCTTTGAAAAGAAACCCAGAAATTCACTCCTGTTGTCCCCGAATTAAGCTGGAAAAAAAAATCAAACAAACTCGATAAAAGATACTTGCAAAGTCTTAGAATTATCATGAGAAATGGCTACAAAAGACTAAATTGTCTTTTCCCTCCTCCTTCCCTTTTACCCACAACTTCCTTCCCCTTTCTCTTTCCCTCCTCTCTCCTCGAAGGCAGGGTGGGGTCTGGGGGCAGAAAGGCTCCTTTCCACAGCGCAGCACTCCACAGCTTTTTGGTTACGTCCCTGCATTTCCAGCCCTTTGCAATTCACCGCACCAAGTATCATCCAAAATTGATTCACCTCTCAAATCTCAGATGTCAACATAATGATCTGACCACAATCTCTTAACTTCCCAGTTTTCTCACTCCCTCTCTCCACTCCTTTCTCTCCAGACAAAAATGTGGCCACCTTACACATTCTGTTATTCAGTCTCAGCTGGATTCCCAATGCTGCGCTCCAATTGTTTTCTTACCCTTGGCTTCCTCCCCTTTCCAAACCTTACGCATTCTCAAGCCACCTTCCTCAAGCCACCTTCCGGACCCTGGTGCCTCTTACCCTTACTTTGCATCCTAACTCATAGAGAAAAAAATAAAATAAAATAAAATAAAAGAGACCACCAGGCTTGATTCAGACTACTCCGGCAAAGGTCATGAATGAACTACTCATTCTCAGATGTTCCCATGGCTAGCTCCCTCCTATCAGTTAGATTCCAGCTCAGATGCTACCTTCTCAAAGAGCCCTTCCCTGACCCGCTGGGGAAAGCCATCCCATAGTCCTGTTTTATTTCTGTATAGGATGTACCACAAAGGCAGGGATTTGGCCTGGCCTGTTCACCACACTCTCCCCAGCACCTAGAACATAGTAGGTGCTCAGTAAACATCCACTAAATAAACTAATTCTATGGGAAAACGACTTCTGCTTTGCTGAAGTTCTGAATTATACATGGACGTTAGTACCACACTCTTTGCATAAAATTCAGCTTCTCTTTTCCAAATTCAGACCATTACAGTGTCAACCTTCCCCTCTACTTCTCTTCATTCTAAATCTACATTCTATCTACCCTGCCTTCTTTCTTTTTTAAAATTTATTTTATTGAAGTATAGTTGATTTATAATGTTGTGTTCATTTCTACTGTATAGCAAAGTGATTCAGTTATACACACACACACACACACACACACACACACACACACACACACATTCTTTTTCATATTCTTTTCCATTATGGTTTATCACAGGATATTGAATATAGTTCCCTGTGCTATACAGTAGAACCTTGTTGTTTATCCATTTTATATATAATAGTTTGCATCTACTAATCCCATACTCCCAATCCATCCCTCCCCCCCCTCCCCTTGGCAACCACAAGTCTGTTCTCTATGTATGGGAGTCTGTTTCTGTTTTGTAGATAAATTCATTTGTGTCATATTTTAGATTCCACATATAAGTGATATCATATGGTATTTGTCTTTCTCTTTCTGACCTACTTCACTCAGTATGATAATCTCTAGGTCCATCCATGTTGCTGCTAATTACCCGGCCTTCTTTAAATCATTGCCACCCGTGTCTACCATCCCTTCAAGCCTCTTTTGGCATTAGAGATTCTTTCAGTATCTGGCTTGCATTTTCCTCTCAACCCCGATCCCTTCTTACTTTCGGGAACTTCTATATGGTCACAACACCGTCAGTGACTGTGACACATGTGTCAACTGCTAACCACAGGACAACCCCAGCCTCAATCTCACCCTGAACTGTTTCCTCTTAAAAACCTCAGCATTCCGCTTTCCGACTTCCCTGTACCCGATGACCTTGGTCTTGCTCCTCACTGAAACCTCTAAGCTTGCAGCCCCGCCACTTTATACCCCCTGGATATACACTGGATTTCCTACCAATCTGCCGTCTGTATCCTACCACTAATGCAACTGTTATTACCATATGAAAGTCCCTTATCTTTCTGCCACAGGCTCTCCCCCCTCTTATTAAGCTCCAGAGCACCACTACACAAAAGTCTCAAACACCATTTTAGTATGTTTAATTGCAGACTGGATTATTTAAAATTATGTGCTAAGATTTAAAGCACAGCAAGACTTGGGTAAGCAAGGGACAATTTATCTTTAATAGAAATAGACACGTTAAACAGAGAGTATGTGAGCATTCCACATCGATTAGGACAGTGTGTGTAATTTCCATTAATTCCCAGTCACCACTTCACATGATTACTTAGAGGGCATACTTACATAGATAAGTCCTGAATAGTAACGATCCTTCAGATTATGCAAAACAGAAGCTTCGTTCAAGCACGTCAATTCTGCCATATCCTCCACCTTGGAAAACTTAGGTGGGTTCATCTTCTGAATATCATCTTTGTTGACCATTGCTTTCTTTCCATTCTCCGCCAACTCCACCATGACTTCATCTCCCCGCTCTTCTTTGATACTAGCTGCCTCGAAACCATGGCGTTCTGATGGAATCCACACTAGCTTTTTAGCCGTCCAATCCGCCTGAGTGGCAGGGTTGTAGATGACCGCCCTGTCCACAAAGAGATACCTCTCCGGATCTTCAAGTCCAGTTCTCTGTGCCATTGTGAACAGAAGGGATCCAAGAGCGACTGCCTCTGCGAGAAGAGGAGGAGGACAAAGTCAGATATTCCAAAATATACGATGGTTCACAAATTTTACTCTTCTAAGAAACCTAAAACAAACGCTTTGGTAAACAGAAAGCGTGAACTTTGAGTGAAGGAGCTGCGGTAGCCCTCTCCATGGCCGTACTAACTGGGTTTCCACGGTAAATTTCAGGCCTGACCACAAATGATGACTCTGGTCGTCTGAGGACCACTCAAGATGTAGCCTGTCGCTGACGGCTGGAAAACAAGCAGGAGGGAAAGCAAAGTTCCAGTTTCACCCTTTTTTCCCTCTCCATCTCCTATTTCACCCTTACCACAAATTAAACAGGCACTTAAGAAGGGAAAGGAAAAGGAAGAAAAAGAAAACAAAGTTTCATGACAAAAGGCCCATGGAGTGCTGCTGGACCACCAGGATGTACTGATAGCTACAGAAATGCACGGTGGCTGCCAGCAGACCGACCCTCAGGTCTAGAATGTGCCTCCCATCCTACCTTCAGACAACAGACTCGACGTTCTTCCTTACAATCACCCCAAGCCAGCCCCCTGCAGCTTCGCTATGGCCCACGTGGCCTCAGTGTGATCACGAGACCACAGGGGATGAGCGTGTAAGTTGGCATCACACCCAGCCTTTCAAGTATGTGATGGGGGCTGTTCAGGTCTCCACTCCCAGGCCCACAGCTGCTCCCCGCCGGTTCCTCTCCTGCATCCCGTCCTTCATCAGGACTCACTCCTCCACTCTGGTTTCTCGCCTCTAAACAGACTCCGTGCCCCTTTAGAGTGTGGGGACTGGAAGCAAACAGAATATTCCAGACACAGTCTGACCAGTGCAGAAGAAAAGGAACTGTTCACAGCCTTAGGCCACACTGGGGAAAGCACTGCTTCTGTAACTTTTACAATGAACAGTATCTCAAGACCTAAGTGGTTTACTGAGCGCTCATTTACAGTTAGTTGTTTCACAAGGAACGGTCAGCGAAAGCTCCACTCGTGGTCCTTGAAGCTACTTCTCCTCTTATACTTGTGGGATTGACTTCTTGGATCAAAGGACAGGATTTTACATTCGTCACTCACCTTTCTGATGTGACTCGTCATTCCTGCCTGACAATATCTTTCTGGAATCCAACACCATCATTAAATACTAATGTTATTACTCCAAATTCCAGGTTATTACAAATCTCATCCAAGTCAATGAAAGAAGGCAAGAGAGTAACCATCAAACCCTCCCAACTTTTCCCTCTCCCCAAAATGATGGGGATTCTTGGTAGGCAAAAGAATGGAAGGCTGCAAGGGAAATCATAAAGTCATCGAAAGTTGTTATGAGGCTCTTAACCTCGAGGCTGTAGACAAAGTTCAAGCTCCGTGAAATCACTGAAATGGTCTAAAAACGTTGTACAACTTTCTCGTATATCTGTGCTTTTCTGAGGAGAACACGTATAACTTTCTTCGGATTCTTAAAGGGATCTATTTATCTTTGTCCTAAAAGATTAAACACTGATAGTGGGTACAAGATACTGGCCCTTTCAGTCCCAGTAAGAAGGTACTAGAATCAAATAGCTAAGATTCTTCAGAAACTGGTTGTTAACAATGTAAAGGGTTACAAACACTCATGCCCTGGGGCAGGGTTCTCAAACTTTGGCAAGGGCGCCAGCAACACCTAAAGGGCTCATTAAAATACAGACCGCGGGGGCCCCACTGCCAGCATTTATGATTCAGTAGGTCTGGGGTGGAGGACCCGATAATTTGCATTTCTAACAAAAACTCCCAGATAATGCTGGACCACACTTCGAGAACCATTCCTCCACAGTTCTCTGGTTGCCATGGTGAACCACTGTTACTACCAGGTATGCTGGAGTAGAAAAAAAGGTTGAAAACCAATGTTTTAGACTAATTCATAACCTGATTTAAAGGATATGCTAACGTTTCAAGGAGTATACACTTGGATAGAACAAAAATCACAAAACAGAATAAAACAAACAAAAAAATCACAAAACATGTAACATTAAGGCTTCTACCGATAGAATTGCTAATATGCTCTCTAACTGTACTTGCAGTTGCCTTCCTAGGCATCCACGTGGGAGAGGGCAATAGAGAAAATATTCAAGCACACATGTACATTCTGAAGAACGGTTTCAAAAACCCATCACCTCTCCGGACTGCACTGATAAGATCATTAACAAGGTTTCTGTCTTCCCAACATATACACTCGCTACCCACTGCTAGGAAGAGGATGGCTCTGAAATGGGAATTATCCTGGATGAATGTGGATACAGACAATAGGACACACACTCTGCCTTAGGAAGGACAGTCTCTTAAAAGAGAAAATATCCAACTAGAACAAAATACGAAAACAAGTTACTCTTATTCTTATTAGGTATAAACTGTATGCCCCACACAACACTTCAGAAACTGCCTTGCTGCCTGTGTGTATGCACACATTTCTTTACTTTTACATTAGACATGTAATTATATGCTTTGATTTAACAAATGACTATAAATTACAGTAACTTAACAGGTCATTTCTAGGGCAGGTCTTTTTTCTTTTTTTAAAAGTAAATCATGGATTTATAAATTATTTGATCAAATCAACACATTTTAAATTTATCAGTATGTACTTTTTCTAGGTGGGGAACCACCTATAATTTAATATAAGGGGAAAAAAACCCACAAGAGATCACAATAGTGTGATTACAATATGCTCCCGATTTTGTGTGTGTGGGGAAATTACATAAACACTTTTTTTTCTTTTTGTTTTAAAAGAAACAAGTAGTCATTGGGTCTTCACTGGGTAGTGGGATCACAAACTACTTTTAATTTTTACTTTTCCAGAGTTTTCTACAAGTAACTAAACACTATGAGGATGGTTTCCTGTCTTTGCCATACGGTGAGCTTACCCCCTGGTCCACAGGAGGGCCTCTATATACCTACTGATCAATACTACATGAATGGTGCCCACCCTCACTGTAAGCTTCAGCTTCTCCTCCACCACCAAAAGCTAACCATTCCTTCAAATCCTAACCCAACGCCACCCTTTCAGAAGTTCTCTTCAGGTCAACCTGGCAATTTAATCCTTAGCCTTCTCCTAACATTTTGCACCGCTCTCCTGGCCTTCTTCTAACCCTCCCTCGCCTTTGTACCAGAGGACTCAGGTGGTAGGTGCTCAAATCCTTGTTTAGTTGACAGAGTCCCTGAGGCCAGTGAAGATGTTTTGTTCATCTTAACTCTTCACTTGTGGTTGCCAAATATGTTGTATTTTTTTCATTCCATTGTACATTTGGTACCTAATCTTGATAATGCTGGTATTTAATAGGGAAACCTCTCCCAAATGCTTTGCCTTTCAGAAAGGATAATACTAGAATTTTGAAAACAGCAGATACTGTTGTTATATACCACTAATCATGGCCAGGCACTATTCTAAGCAGTTTATGTATGTATTAACTCTTAATCCTCACAACAGCCCTACGTGGTAGGTACTATTCATATCTCCATTTTACAGATGAGGAACCCAAGGTTCAGAGAAAGCCAATAACTGGCTGGAGGTCACAGAGCTAAGGAGGGGCAGAGCTGGGAGTAAACTCAGTTCAGCTCCAGAGCACATGCTACAAGGATGGAAGGTGAGAAGGAGAAAACTTTGAAGGGCATGTAGTACACTACATACTGCCTCTCGGATCAATTATCAATCATGGCTTCAAGAGTACAGGCTCAGGGAATTCCCTGGCGGTCCAGTGGTCAGGACTCTGTACTTCCACTGCCGGGGGCCGGGGTTCGATCCCTGATCTGGGAACTAAGATCCCACAAGCCGCCAGAAAAAAAAAAAAAGAATACAGGCTCGGCCAATGAATGCACTAGCACAATCTAGCAAAGGCTTTTTATTTTATAGAAAAAAAAAACCTATATTGGAGGAAAAAAAGGAATAAATAGGAACATCTTTGCAACAGACAGAATCTGAAGGTTCTTGGTGTCATCTGAAATAACTGCCTAATTATGGGTGAATCATTTATCTGTGCACAAATTAGCTCCCTACAGAGCCAAAGCCTCATCCCCTTCATTTGCTTTTAGACACACACACACCCCTGGGCTCCATCTCCAAGGCCATTTTAGACTCTCAATGAAATATCACCCAGGAAACTTCTCGACTGCCTCCCAGCACCTACTATAGGTACAGGCACAGAAAAACAGTTTTATGAATATCTTGCACATAAAAAGCCAAACAAAAATGATGGATAAGGGACCCATATGATAGCGCATCTCTCTAAGACGGATAAGCTAAAACAGAATTGTCCCAATTTGTGTAACGCTACCAGAGGTCACTTACATTACAGAGACCTGTAAGTCTGTTCATTTATCAGTATTCTGTTCAACCAAATAAGCAGAAATACAAACTAAGTGCAAAAGGACACTATCGCTATTCATGGCCCAAGCCACCTCTGTGAATATCTTTACACCGTGTTAAATGTTTCTGAAACGTGGAGCTGACACCAGGAATTTTTATTCTTCCTATATGACAAGTAAGTACATCATCTGCTGAAGCCTAGAGTCTTTCACCATACAACGTGCCCTTCAAAATTTCCTCCATCTCACCTTCCATCCAGCCTGTCTTCATTGAAATGATTTCCCTAAGGAGCCCAAATAAAAAGCCAACCTCTCGGGTCACATCCCTTTGCAGCAAAAGCTAGTGCTGTATCACACAATTACACCATATGCTTTCTCCAGATAAGGACGAGAAAGAACTGAATTTAAGATGCAGAAGTAAGGAGCTGCATAAAATGGCCACTTTTCCAGCGTCCGTGACAGACAGGGCATACTTAAACATCAAAAGCATGGAACTGAAGGAGTAATTAATAAAGGTGGATTGATGAAGGAAATGAAACAATAAATACATTAAAGTTTTCCAGAGTGAGATACTATCAAGAATAATTAAGCCTGACTCAAAGGATCCTCAGCTTCAATGTTAAAAAACAAAAATCTCAGCAAAGCCGAAGTATTATATTTGATATTATATTATTCAGCGAAAACAGCAGTCTTTGTTTCATTTGCAGTCGGGATCTACCCTGCCTGCTTTCCCCTACCCCACCCCACCCCCTTCCATCCACCGCAGTGATCTCGAAGGGAACTGCAGAGGCCCCAAGGAACAGAGATAACGGTCATAGGCAGAGGCCACGTTACCCAAAACTCACCAGCCGAGCTCAGACCAGAGTCGCCAACCTCCTTCCCAAGGCCCTAGTTGCCAGGCAGGCCAGGCTGGGCGCCTCGCCGGTCCCCGGGCCGCATCCACCCACCGCAGGCCCACAAAGCCCCCGCGGACGCCGGGACTCCGCGCCTTCAACTTCCCTCCGACCCCATTCCAGGCCGATTTTATGGGATCAGGGTGTGACCCCCACTGCAGAAGGCCAGGAAGAGACTCCGCGCCAAGCCATGCCCAGATCACTTACACAATAAAGGGATCCCGAGGCGAGGGCTGACCCTCCCCCCCCCGACCGCCCTGCTGCAGCGCGCCCCCGCCACATTTCCCGCCTCGCCCCCCCAAACCGCCCGGGCCTGGCCGGGTGTCCACCCCCGGCCCCCGCCGTCCCCAGAGCGCCTGGGAAGACGCCCCCCCGCTCTCTCGCCCAGCTCCCCCGGGACCAGCGGAGCCCGACCCTCCCCAAGCCGGCGGCCGGCTGCTGAGACCCTCACCCGCCGCCGCACGCCTCCCGGGCCGTGCGCAGCCCTGCCCTCCGGTCCCTTCACCCCGCAGGTCCCGGCGCGCCGCCGGCCTTCCGAGCCCTCGGCGAACCCCTCACCGCACTCGGGATGCCGGACCCGGCCTAACCCACCCAGTGGCCCTTCCCGTCCAGCGCTCCCCCCCCCCCAACCCGGATGGCGCTTTCCAGCCCGCCCCAGGACTCCCTCCCCTCCCGAGAGGCAAGCACAGGCTCGCGGGACCCCCGGGGACACCCACCAGGGCACGAGGCCCCCCCAACCCCGCGCCCCACGGATCCCGCACGCCTAGTATCAGGTCAGCACATGCCCACCCGCAGATCTCCATCCCCAGCCCCCCAGGGGTCGTCCTCCCGCACACCCAGGCCCTAATCCCTGCAGGGGTCTCACTCTCAAGGACCTCATTCCCCACCCCTCCAGGGGTCTCTCCACCCACCGGGGTCCCGTTAACCACCACCAAGGTCCTTCCTTGCGCGAATCTACGGCCCCTGCAGCACAAACCCTCCGCCCAGAACCCCTTCTGTCTTCCCCAGCTCCCGCTTCGGCTCCGTTCCTGCCCTACAGATCCGCCCGGGCCCCCAGCCGGGGATCCTTTCCTCCCCCACAAACCGTCCCTCGGTTCCCGGCCGCCGCACTCGGACCCGGGAAGCCGCACCTCTCACCTTCAGCCGAAGATGGTGGCGCCGGCGCACGTCCCCAGCCGCGACCACAGATCCGGCGCCTCAGTCCAAAACCCACCGCTGCCTCCGCCGGGCTCCTTTAGCACTGCTACTCCGGGCTGCCCCACCCCCTCCCACCCTCATTGGGCCAGCTCCACGCCCGTCACCACCGCCCCCAGACCCACTGGTCCGTTTGCGCGCCCATCTCCAAGGGAAAACGTTAGCAACCCGAAAGAAGCTACCTTCCCGAGGTCCGCTCCCTCCACCCACCTGAAATGATGCTCATTGGCTCCCGCTCCCAGCCCAGGCCTCCGAGGCCCCCATCTCATAGGCTGAGCCGCACGCCCGTCAGAGATTCCGGGAGGTGCGGCCGGGGCAGTCGCGGGCGATTGGCTGGCTCGGGAGGAGATGGACAGCTGCGGCTGGCTGGGTGCCCCGCGATTCCGCGGGGCAGAGGGTGCGGATCCCGCAGCGGCCTCGGCCGTGCGGACCGCGGGGCAGGTGTGCCACGGCCGCAGCCCCGAGCTCCGCCTGGACGCGCCTCGTCCTGCCGTCGGGCTGCAGGGGGCAGCCCAGTAAAGTGCCTCGCCGCCTCCTCTGCCTGTCGCAGCCGGCGTGTCCCGCAGCGGGACCGGCTTCCACCGCGGAGTCGCGGGCCTCGGGCCGCGGGCGCTGCCTGCAGGGGCGGGGCCGGAGCGCGGTCCAGAGGCCTTACGTCACTCCCGGGGCAGCTGGGGGGGGGTGGGGGCCGCGGCTCGGCGGCTCACCTGCAGTGGGGGAGGGGAGGCAAGTCTCGGGCTGCTGCTCTGCCCATGCGCTCCGGCCCTGAAGCTGGGGCCCCGGCTTCAGTCGGCGGTCCGCGCTCCCGGCACTGTCGCGACCCCCGCCTCCAGGCTGACCCTGCCCAGGCCCTCTGAGCGGCGGCCGCCGGACAGCTTCCTCCGCTGCTGCGGTTTTGATGTTTGAAAGGGGAGACGTCTCCCTACCCAGACTCCCGGCTGGGCTGAGATTACAGAGGATTGAGAAGCGAACCCCCCTTGGAGAGAAGACTTGGGAAAAGGGCTTAACCTCATTCATTCGTTCGTTCATTCATTCATTCATTCATTCATTCATTCATTCAATAGAGCTCCCTACTTGAGAGGGGCTATGAGGAGGTTCTGTAGAGCTGTCTTATCCCCCAGGGCCTATTAACTTTTCAAAGGCCTTAGAAAGCGTTTGAGACCTGAAGAAGAAGAAGAAAAAAAAAGCTCCCAGATAAGGAAAGGGAACCAAAAAAATCAAAGTTAATCAATATTTAATGAAACGTCTGCAATATCTAGTCAACTGCAACATGACCCTTAATTAATTAATTATAAATATAATAAAGTTTAAGTCACAAGTCACAAAATGATTTCTTACAAAAACTGAAGTTTATCCAAATCTTTTCAAAAAAATTTTACAGCAAGATGTAGTTATTTCGTGTTGAATATGGGTGCATTTTATTATTTATGATGTAAGTGGCTAGGCCTAGGAAACTTCCGGTCTGGTAAAATGAATAAAGCAAAAAACAAAACAAGGCAGGAAACGATAAGGAGGGGGTGGTGCAATTCAGAGAAGATTTCAAGGCAGCTGAGTGCAGAGTCCCTCCTGGGGAAGTCCGACTCAGGTCCTGTACTGTCCTTTGTCCTAGTGCATCTTGTCCCCCACCCCCATCAGCCTCCTGGAGTAAGCTGCCCTCTGTCCAGGTGTCTTGTGACTTGGCTCCATGAAGTCTGTCCTCCTTAATGCAACCTGCACATGGAGTACAAGTTAACCATACCTAGCATGTGAACAGTATTCCTCTTCTGAATTAAAAAAAAAAAAAAAACACAACTTTTTAGAGAACACCAAACACTCCATCTCTAATGCCTGAGTCTCAGCTTTGCCAGCCACTGAAGTCATTTCTGAATGCTTAGAGCATTCACACACAAACAGCCCCATCAGCCACCAAGTCTGTGGTTTCCCATAACTTTAAAACAAACTCAGTGGACCATCAGAAGAGGAGGGCAGGAAGCTCACCAGAATTCAACGTCACAAAGATGTCAGTCTTGAAGAGAAATCAATAATAAAGAGACTGTCCCCAGGAATTCCCTGGCAGTCCAGTGGTTAGGACTCTGGCGCTTTCACCGCGGAGGCCCAGGTTCGATCCCTGGTCCGGGTAACTTAGATCCCGCAAGCTGTGTGGTGTGGCCCCAAAAATATAGAAACTGCCCCCAAATGCATCTCTAGCCATGGCATCTCTGCAGCCCTTGGGCCCTACATTTTCAACTGTCTGCCAGAGGTGCCTACCTGGATGGGAGGACAACTGCAAAAGCAGGAAGCCCCAAACCTATTTTCTTCCCACTTCCACTACATCCCTCCACCCAAACTCTTTCTTCCCAACTTCCCTTTGTCTGTTAATGAAACCAGCCTTGAAACCTCTTTGATTCCTTCCTCTCCCTTGCTCCCCCATCATGTCCCCCTCCACCTCAGTCATCTAGCCAGCCAGGCTCAGAATTCTAACTCCAGTCTCACCTCATGTAGCTCCATCCCTGAACCTCTTGCCATTTTGATCAGGAAAACGCAGGATTTAGGACCACATAGACCTGGCTTTGAATCCGTCTCTGCCACTTACTAGAGCCTTAATCTTTGACAAAGTCCTTAACCTCATCTCTAAAAAGAGGATACAGGACTTCCCTGGTGGCTGAGTGGTTAAGAATCCACCTGCCAATGCAGGGGACACAGGTTCAATCCCTGCTCCGGGATGATCCCGCATGCCGCAGAGCAACTAAGCCCGTGTGCCTCAACTACTGAAGCCCGTGCACCTCAACTACTGAAGCCCGTGCGCCTAGAGTCCATGCTCCGCAGCAAGAGAAGCCACTGCAGTGAGAAGCCTGCGCACCGCAACAAAGAGTAGCCCCCGCTCACCGCAACTAGAGAAAGCCCGCCCACAGCAAGGAAGACCGAAGGCAGCCAAAAATAAATAAGTTTATTTAAAAAAAGAAAAGGGCTTCCCTGATGGCGCAGTGGTTGAGAGTCCGCCTGCCGATGCAGGGGACACGGGTTCGTGCCCCGGTCCGGGAAGATCCCACATGCTGCGGAGCAGCTGGGCCCGTGAGCCATGGCCACTGAGCCTGCGCGTCCGGAGCCTGTGCTCCGCAGCGGGAGAGGCCACAACAGTGAGAGGCTCGCGTACCGCAGAAAAAAAAAAAAAGAGGATAGAAATATACACCTGAAGGGCTCGTTCAACAAGTATGTAACAGGATGATTTACTGGGGGAAAAAATGGCATTATGAATACATAGATTGAAAATTGTCCTTTTTTTCTAATCTACAATTTCATTACAAAAGAGTGAGAAATCTTTGTCCTCTCTCCATAGTAATTTTTGCTGGCAGTCTAGGCTGCTTTTACCCCCAAAAGAAAAAGGTCACAGACCACTGTTTCGCAGAGTCTAGGTCACAAGTCCAAACTCATTCCCTCAGGGCAGTTCCAGCCCACGAGCCTGTTTTGTTCTAAGCTGTTTTGTTCCGTCTGTACAGCGCTGATATGAAGCATTTTTATTTTTATAAATTTGAGTGAATTCCAACATTTAAAAGTCAAGAGCTATCCAACATCATTAGCCATTAGGGAAATGCAAATCGAAACCATAATGAGATACCACTTCACACCCACTAAGATGACTATAATCAAAAAGGCAGACAATAACAAATGTTGGCGAGGATGTACAGAAAGAGGAACCCTCAGTCATTTCTGGCAGGAAAATGGTGTAGTCACTGTGGAAAATGGTTTGCCAGTTTCTTAAAAGTTAAACATGAATGTACCATGTAACACAATTCTATCTTTCAGTATCTACCAAAAAGCAACAAAAAAAGTAGGATATATATGGATACAAAAGCTTGCACACAAAGGTTCAGAGCAGGATTATTCATAATAGCGGAAAAAAAATGGAATGTCCATCAACTGGTGAATGGGTAGACAAAATGTGGTATATCCGTACCATGGAATACTATTCAGCAATAAAAAGGAACACACTACAGTTTCATGCAGCAACATAGATGAACCTTGAAAACACTATGTTCAGTGAAAGAAGTCAAAGAGACCACATATTGTATGATTCCATTTACGTGAAATATCCCCAAAAGGCAAAGCTATAGAGACAGAAAGTACGATAGTAGTTGCCTGAGGTAAGGGCTGGGGTGGGGAGGACAGTAAATATACATGTGGGATCTTATTGTGATGATGAAAATGTTCTCAAATTGATTTATGGGGCTTCCCTGGTGGCACAGTGGTTGGAAATCTGCCTGCCAATGCAGGGGACACGGGTTCGAGCCCTGGTCTGGGAAGATCCCATAGGCCGCGGAGCAACCAGGCCCGTGAGCCACAACTACTGAGCCTGCACGTCTGGAGCCTGTGCTCTGCAACAAGAGAGGCCCATGATAGTGAGAGGCCCGCGCACCGCGATGAAGAGTGGCCCCCGCTTGCCGCAACTAGAGAAAGCCCTTGCACAGAAACGAAGACCCAACACAGCCAAAAAATAAATAAATAAATAAATAAAAATAAAATAAAAAAATAAAATTGATTTATGGTGATGGTTACACAACTGGATAAAGTTACTAAAAGGTCACTGAATATTATGCTGTGGATTACATGATTTTAAAAATATACCTTAATAAGTAATGTTTTAAAAATAGAGACAAAAGAGTTCTCTCATGAAAATCCAGATTTCTGGCTTCCCTTGAAAACACAGAAGATCTGGAAATTCCGCGCCAATTCGCTGATGCCTTAGCGGCTGCTCATTTTTAGACAAAGCTCATTTAGACAAAGCATGCCTCAGTCACCACTTCTCTCTGTTGTCTCTTGAAGCCAACCTGCTTTATTCACTGACATTCTTTTCCTGGTCTTTTTAAGGCATCTATTTGCGTTCTCAGTCTCTGTCATGCCTGTCAAGGGATTTCACGTCAGATCATTCCAGAGAGTTAAGAGAAAGGGTGGTATTTTTGAGTTAAAGAGCTATTTCCCTGACAGTGGTGAAGGAGTAGGAGATCTGGGGTGCCCATGAGAAGAGGCCCCATTTCAACAAGATTCCTGGAAGCGGCAGGACTTCGGGGCAGAGGCTACTGTACTGAGCCCCTCACAGCCCACCCCGGGGAAATAATTCCTGACTGACAGGAAGGATCGATGCTCAACTGTGGCATTTTGAAACAGCAGGAAGAACAGTTAAAAACAAACAGAAAACTTCTAATGATCTGAGAAAGAAGGAACCTTCCAGAATTTTCTTGGGCCCCTTAAGCTCTGGAGTTTTGGGGGGAAAAGAAAAAAACAGAAGTTTCCTGAAAATGACTAATTTAAGACTTCTCACCAGCCACGCAGGATAAGGCTAACTCAGATTTAATTTGATTTAGAAAAACAAAAGCACGATAGTCCTTGCATCCTAATGTCTTAGAGCAACTTGTACCTGTGAGAAATGCTTACCATCTTTTGCATCTAGGAAGAGAGCAGGGGTTTTTAATCTGGAGTCTGT